CTCCTCCTTCACATCCTCCTCCTCCTCCTCCTCCTCCTCCTCCCTCACATTGGGAGAGTGTGTCTTCTCCCTCAGGTCTGTCCATGGCGTTCGTGCCCGGCCCGTTGCTGTCTCCTCCTGGTGTCTCCCTGCAGGTGGCGCCTCCTGCTGGTCACTCGGTGCTGCTGGTGTCCAACCTTAACCCAGAGGTCAGAGTTCACGCTGTCTCCGGCGCTGCTCTCTCAGGTGACCGTACTGACCCTGTTTGTCTCCGCAGAGCGCCTCTCCTCGCTGCCTCTTCATCCTGTTTGGTGAGAGCCTCCGTTGTTCGTCAGCGGGACGCTGAGACGTGGACGTGGACGTGGACGTGGACGTGGATGTTGACGGCGTGTTTGTGTGTTTTCAGGTGTTTATGGAGACGTTCAGAGAGTTAAAATCCTCTTCAACAAGAAGGAAAACGCTCTGGTTCAGATGAGCGACGCCACTCAGGCTCAACTCGGTCCGACGCTTCTTCGCCTGCACATCATATCTAACACATTTACTGACACAATGAAGGACAAATCATGTTAATACTTCTACTACATGTTTATTTAAATATTACCAACAGCAGGAAACTCTAAAGTCAGTTAAATCATTTTGATTCATTAATACAAGAGTTGTAATTATCTTAAATCCATGTTTGCATGATGGAAAAATGATCTTACATCATCGATTTGAGATGTTTTACAGACTTTATGTAAAGCTTTGAAAAAACACCAACCAGTTCACATTTTAAACAAGAAACACCTGAAATTAAAATATTAAAGATGAATATTAGATATATAATATATTCTCACTCCTGACAGCGATGAGTCATCTAAACGGGCATCGTCTCCACGGCAACGTGATCCGGGTGATGCCGTCCAAACACCAAGCGGTGCAGCTGCCCCGCGGGGGGGCGGGGCCAGAGGAGCAGCCGCTGACCTGGGACTACTCAGGCTCCGCCCTCCACCGCTTCAAAAAGCCCGGATCCAAAAACTTTAACAACATCTTCCCTCCGTCGGCGACGCTTCACCTCTCCAACATCCCGTAACCCAAATGACACATAATAATAATATCTATAAATGTAGACTGGTACTGGTCATTTTATCAAATATTTATATTTATATATATATATTTAACATTTTTAAAAATCATCATTATAAATATATATATATTTATAATGATGAATTTTGCAGTATATATTATCATGTATTTTGTATTAAAGACGCGTCTTCACGCTGATTGACAGATAGTCCCGTCGTTGGTGGTGTTGATGTTGTATATAATGTACAGGTAATAAGTGTACATGGGTATCACATGTGTATTACATGTGTGTATCACATGTGTATCACATGTGATACACATGTGTATCACATGTGATACACACGTGTCAGGGTTTGACGTGTCTGTCGTCAGGTCTTCGGTCAGTGAGGAGCTGCTGAAGGACTTGTTTTCCTCTGCTGGGGTCACAGTTAAAGCCTTCAAGTTCTTCCAGTGAGTAACAACAGCAGTTTGAACCCTTCAGTTATGGAACGAGAACTCAATGTAATGATGTCACTTCCTCTGATGTCACAGGAAGGACAGGAAGATGGCTCTCATGCAGCTGGCGTCTGTGGAGGAGGCCATCGAGGCTCTGATCGCTCTGCATGACCACCAGCTGGACCACAACCAGCACCTCCGGGTCTCCTTCTCCAAGTCCACCATCTGACCTTTAACCTCCAGGTCTCCTTCTCCAAGTCCACCATCTGACCTTCAACCTCCGGGTCTCCTTCTCCAAGTCCACCATCTGACCTTTAACCTCCGGGTCTCCTTCTCCAAGTCCACCATCTGACCTTCAACCTCCGGGTCTCCTTCTCCAAGTCCACCATCTGACCTTTAACCTCCGGGTCTCCTTCTCCAAGTCCACCATCTGACCTTCAACCTCTGGGGCCCTTCTCCAAGTCCACCATCTGACCTTTAACCTCCGGGTCTCCTTCTCCAAGTCCACCACCTGACCTTTAACCCCAGGTTCTCCTGCTGTTGACAGACTCCGCCCCCTTCTTGTGATCATTTGAGCGGGGCTTCTGATTGGCCCAGGTGGGGAACAGATGGACTAATGGGATCTCCGACTGGACCGTTCTGTGCCTACAAACACTCTGACATCACAGTAACAAGTGAAGCGGTTACCAAGGTTACACAGCACATTCCTGAGCAGACTGAGCGGCCAGTAGCGAGGCATTGTGGGTAAGAGAGTCCAACGAGCCAATAAGGTTTGAACGTTTTTCTGTCTGAATGTTAAAAAGAAAAAGTTGATTTCCTTTTTTTATTGTTTTGATTTGAATAGTTTGAAGTGTCAGTTCCGGGTCCTCACTGCGTCTCATTCAGTCCTCTAAGTCTTCTGTGCCTTATTTTCACTCTATGAATTATTCTGCTGTCTTAAGTCCATCCGCTGGTTGTTTGTGCTGATTTAAGTTTCTTAGTTATTTGGAATCATTTTGTGTTTTAAAACGTGAGCCGGTGATGTTTTCAATGCTCGCTGTCGTACCTGTGTGTGTGTATTTATACATCTGTATGTGTGTCTGTGTACATCTATACACGTATATAGATGTATACATACTTGTGTGTGAGTGTGTAACAAGCTGAGCTGTGATTGGTTGATTTTCAAGTTTCCCTTTTTTCTATTAAAAACATTTCATTCGATTCCAGCTCTTGTTTTTTAAATCTCCCGTTAATTACAATTTTATTCCGGAAACAGGAAATAAGCCACAAAAAACCAGAAAGCTGCTGTGTTCCAGTCACCCTTCTGACTCTTAAACAATAATAATACTCTGCTTGTTTGTTTAGCTATGAAATGACAACAAATGCAATATTATGTTTTAAGTTATTTTTAAATTCAAGTCTTAAGGGTTTTGTTTGGTACTTGTTTTTTATTTGTTACAGCAAAATATTAAATATGATTTAATTGAATAGAATAGTTTTTAACAGCCGACAAAAGTCACGTTTAAGAAAGTTTTTTTAAACTTAATGTGATAATTAGGAAACCTAATTAGTAAAAATGGGGGACGGGGGTCAAACCACGTGCCTTAATTGGACCAACTAATTCTCTCATTATGACATCACTTCCTGTTTAAATGGCTTCCAAACTGTTTATCTTTACATTCTTCAGTGTATTGAAGTTTCTACCTGTTTTTAAGTCTGAACCTGAAAAGGTTTCTTGTTTTACAGGAAGTGAATGTATTTTCCTCATGACGTCACATCCTGTTTCAGGACGTAGGACTTTTATAAAGAGTAGCTCCGCCCACTCAGTCCATCACAACAGCGACCAATCAGAGCCAAAGGAAACCGGCTGCAGGTTCTGACTGACATTGTAGTACCAAGTGCGTTCTGTGAGTACACTTTGAAGTACTATAAGAGGTTGAACATGTATCAGTATACCAGATACAATACCTGCACTTACTACCGTGAACATGAAGTATTACTTGTTATGTAATACGTGTAACCACACAACTTGTAAGATGCTCTTTGAGTTGTATTTAAATATAAAATAGAAGAATATTTAATACAATACTTGTTACAGTTGACAAGTATATTTATTTTATTTGGACATAATTCATGTATTGCAATGTTGAGTATTTAACATGTTACATTTTAATACTACAGTACAGGTTCTATATATTTACGCTGTGTACTTTGATGAGTAATACGTGTAACAAGTATTGTTACGTGTAACATTAAGACATGAAAACATAAAGCTGTTTACCAATAAAGAAAAACAAACTGTCGTTTAAAACCTTTCAGAATATCTGACCAGAGGATTTTAGTGATTATTTTGTTTTGCTATGCTAATGTTAAGTGGTACTGATGCATTGTGGGAGCCGATGGCACTGGGCTTTCTGTGCTGTGTTTATTGTATTGATTAGATTAGATATGATTGATCAGATATTGAAGTCATCCTTGATGAATTCAGCTTTGACTTGGTTGCACGAAAGCAGGTTGAATTAAACCCGGACAGGAAGCCGTGGTGGTTTATTTAGTCTGTTTGCCACTGAGCTTGTTTTCTAAGCCAGGCTGTTAATAAAAGCACTATTTGTCGTACTGTCAGTGTGTGTTTGCCACTGAAGTCCTTGGCTCACATCTTTATTACCTTCATGGACACAGAAGAATGTGTCACATTAAAGAGGATTTCCACACATTCCGTACGTGGTGATAGTGTTTGGTGCACTGGAGAATGTAGCATGTATGACGAGGTGGAGCAGTATGTGTCCCACCCTGAATCCCCCCATCACGGGCTGCCTGGTGTAACACAAGGACCACGTCCTCAGCGGGGCTGCAGCCTGGAGCCCCCCAGTGCAGACAAATGAGCCTCCTTCTCACCTGCTGACATCAGTTTACGTTAAACATCAATATGTGAGCAGGTGGTTTCTACACCGTCTGCAAACCTACAGCCTGCAAACGGTTTTTATCTTTGATCTTTTCCTGTTTGTTCTGGTTCGGGTTAAAAACGTGCCGCGCGCGTCTCCTCCATCTGTGCATCAGCAGACCTGTGACGGACACCGTGGTCTACTTAAGAAAGTCGAGGACTGATCCCAGATGTGTGCACCTGGATTGACTCAACTCCTCCCCCTCATCCCGGCTCAGCAAGCGATTAAGATCAAACTAAGTCAAGCTGCGCTTTTCACTCATCCTGGATTTCTTTATTCTACTTTTGTGCAACAGGGAGTGAGACAGGAAGTGGTGACATGAGTCACTGAACAAACAAATAATCTGCCAACCAATGGCTGCTGCTGGATTTCTAGAGGCTCCGTCCACAAGCTGCTCCTGAGAGAGACAAACACGCGTTAAATGTCACCTTCAGAAGGATAAACCTTTATTGTTCCCGCGTGGCCGCCATCCTTCACTGTGATTGGTCGGTTCGCAGACTACAGCAGATATTTGTCATAAAAAAACAAAACACAACAGTGAACGCAAGAATTCTATTGGACGACGGAAACTGAGGTTCGTCCGACTTGTAGCTGACGTCATCAACCAAACCCCGCACGCACACACACACACACACACACACACACACAGTGTTTAGACTGCAAAGGTTCAGAAATGTATTCATTCATTTCTGTATTCGTTAATATTTGGTCCTGTTTTTTTTTATCGGATGTTTCGAATCACTTGAAATGTTTTGACCTTAAAGTGTCAGAATACTGGAATCATTCAGCGCTTGTTTTTGTGTTGGGGACGAAAACTAAATCTAAAGAATATATTTATAAGGAAAAATGTGAGATTACATTCTCAAATCAGAATTGCTGCGATGTCATTGGCCGATCTGGTTTGAGTCAATTCAACTTCAACGCTCAGAATAATTCACTAAAGTTAATAAATTAAGACATTTTCTTTAAGATTCAGATCTCTTCATTCACCCTCGACAGTTTTTATAAATAAAGATTTTACAGCTTTATAATAATTTTGTTTTTGAATCATCACGAAAAGAAGAAGTTGTCGTTATGAGATCTTTTTCCAGAATGAGCAACTTTGTAACAGTGAAAAAAGAAATTCTCACAACAACATGAAGTAAAAACTAAATAAAGATCTTATTCCAATGACAATAATTTTGTGGAATAAGAAAATGCTTTGAAAGAAATATTAATATATAACATTCAGGAATTATGAGAAACATAAGACAATGTTACAAAACGTGTGGTTTTTTTGGGAAACATTTGCTAAAAAACATGTTTTTGTTTGTTTTGTCCTTAATATTTAATCCTCACTCCTCATTGGCTGATTTGTCTTAAATGTTGACACTAAAGAAAACCACCAGACAGACGATTTATAGTCAAAATCGGATATTTCCCCTCCAGCTGACGAGTTCATTTAAATAAATATCTTTGGAGAAGTTTTTAACACAACAAATTGTCTCCACTGGTTTTTTTCTTTGTGAATATTAATCACAACTTAGTGTTTGTTTCCGAACTAAACACTGAAGATCACCTGTGAATACTGATGAGTCGCCGCTCTGACTTCTGTTCTATCTGAACATGAAGTCCTATTTACTTGTAATTATTTTATCTTCCAAAAACAATGAAATAAACGCTCACAAGCCGATCAGGAGAACGACTTCTTCCTCCTCCTGATTGGCCGTTTCCGCTCAGATCAAAGATCATACGATTCAGCGCGACGCGTCACTCACTCTTCCTTCCTGCGCTCTCATTGGCTTGTTCTGGCATCATTTAGTTTTAGCACCAAAAAAACATAAATAGGTAAAAACGCGCACGCACGCACACACACACACACGCACACACACACACAAACACTTCATTTCCTCTCATAAAAAACAAAAACAGTCTGTTTCTGGCCGACTACACGTCGAGGATCTCCTCGGCGGTGCCGCCGCAGCGCAGCCGGTACCGGCCGGTCCTCCAGCTGATGGTCGGGTCCCACAGCGCCGACAGGAAGATCTGCACCGCCATGGACTCCCGGATGAACCAGGCCACGGCGAAGTCCAGTTTGGAGAAGCACAGCGGGCCGCCCTGCCAGATGATGTCATCGATCAATAACCACACGTCTCGTCCGTATTAGTCTCTAATCGAACGTTATTACAAACAGTTCGTCAACGTCAATAAAAAGGATAAAATACGCAACTAAATAGTGTCAAGTTTACAAAATAAAATCCAAACATCTCACTGTAACCTTTCAAAATAAAAGGCTAAAATATGTTCTTGCAATCTGTATATAATCGATCCGGCATTTTAATATTTCTCTAGAAAAAATAAGTAAGTAACAATGATTCTAAATGTACCTGAACGCCAGTCAGCTGGATGTAGTCCGATATAAACCAGGCGAGACAGTGACACATGAAGAAGACCATCATGTCCCACCTGCAGCTCACCAAACAAAGACATGGTGAAATAGATTCACGGACAGAAGAAGCACGAGGACGATCATCGAGCAGGTGTCTGCCTACCTGAAGACGTAGTGAGCAGCCCAGCCAATGATGAGGCTCGCCAGGAAGCACTCGGAGACGGGCTCCAGCACGGTGCCGGGCAGCATATTGATCCTCAACTTGGTCCACCTGAGGACACAAAGTACATCGGAGGACCACACGCAATGGAACAGATATTTAATAAAACGTTCAACTCATTCAAGCATTACAGTTTAAGTGAAAGAGCATAAATAAATGAATAAATAAGATGAAAATAAAAATAGTAGAATCGACCAGCCTTTCCTAACAACAAAGCATAAAACTCAAGTGACTATTAGCTGTACGGCTTTGAGGTCACCTGATCATTCGGGACTGGAACTGGCCAATCGAGTACGACCCAGAGTTCTGCAGCGCCACCTGCGTTGCCATGGAGAACTTCCAGCCTCTACGGGACAGACGGCATTAAAAGAAAATACATCAACAAAACTTATCTCAACCGGCGCTAACGCTAGCATGCTAGCACGCTAACCTGTCAGCGATGGCTTTGGCCATGAAGTAATCCTCGGCGATGTACTGAGCGAAGGCGACCAATCCGCCGGCCTGGTCCAACACGTCCTTCCTCATGAGACACGACATCCCCGTCACACACTTTATTCCCGTCACGTTGGCAGAGATGTACGAGCGAGGGTGGGACGTCCCGAAATACACCTGGTGACGGGTTAGCGTTAGCATCTGTTAGCGCTGCAAAACACCGCCGGTTTAATCTTTATTAAAACGGGACAAGTGATAGGAACAGAATTTTGGAAGATAATTAGGAATATAGAAAGTAAAAGTCCTGAATTGGATCCCAGCGGGACGCCTTTTGGAATAATCAAGATTGACTTTCATACAGGTCATTTAGCAGACGCTTTTATCCAAAGCGACTTACATCACACTTTAAACACGTGGCTTTTTCACATTTTTGCCTGGGGAGCAATTAGGCATTAGGTGTCTTGCTCAGGGACACTTCAACATGGAACATGGGGCAGCCTGGAATCGAACCACCAACCTTGTGCTTCCCAGCGCACCTTCTCTAACCCCTGCGCCACGACGACCCCGGGTATGCAGTATACCACATGCAGCGGTAATAAAAAAGCGTTTCAAACAGTTTAACATTGAAACGGGCGTCCGGTTATGGCTGCCACAATATCACACTTTTGTTGTGCCAACATTTATTGCAGCATGTTAAGCATCGGCCGCAGGACGGCGTCCCTCCCGCCCAAAGAGGCGAAGGAGCCGTCCGGAGGAACCGACAGTAGTTCAGGTTAAAGACGGGCGGACGGTTGTTGTTTGGGCGAGAGTTTAGCTTAGTTAGCTTAGCTTAGTTGGGCTCACTGCTTCTCTTCACCCGTCGGTGTCGCTCTGTGTCTGTGGCGTGCTGCATAAGCCCCGCCCCCCCGGCCACAAGGAGGGACAGAGGATCAACTTAAATGTTGGGGACGTTCATTTAGATCACCAACAGTTATTGCGCGAGGTTTCAGAGCGCTTGATGGCGCATTGCGACGGGCCTGCGCTCGCTTCCATAGCACTCGCTACTCGTTAGCATTACCTGCTCCAGCGTGGCGGCGAATCCTTGTCGATCGGAGACATACGGCAACCCGTGGACCAATCCCACCTTCTCCGTCATCTGATTGGTCATGTCGGTCAGGGTGTCGGGTTTCACTGTCACACAGTCAGCATTAATAACCCGACGAGGGACTCGGCGCTGATGTTGGTAGTGTGACCTCACTGACCTCGGATGCCGCTGTCACAGATCCACACCAGCTCGTACTTGGCTCCTTCGTAGCCCGGCATCAGGTTGTTGATCTTGGGGTTGATTCCAACTTTCTTTCCCCCTGAGAACAAAAGAACGAACACCGGCTAACGTTAGCTGCTAACGAAGGCGCCATTACAGCGAGAGGAAACCAACAGAAGTCTTCGCTCACCGATGAACAGTCGAGCGTCGACGTTTGGATATTTGCCCAAAAGCTTTTTACAAACGTCCACGGCGGGATCGTCCTTATCCTGGACGCACAGCAGGATCTCGTACTGCGCACAAAGGACGGGTTAGAACACACGCCCTGCTGGGGGGCGCCGCTCGGGCTACGGGGAGCTAGTGGGCTCACCTTTGGGTAGTCCAGTGTGAAAAAGGTCTCCAGGTTGGAGATCAGGTTCGGGTCGACGCCCTTCAGCGGCTTCAGCAGGGAAACTCCAACCAGCTGCACAAACGGCTGTTTGACCTCTGACCTTTTCTTGTGGAGATGGAGACGCCTGAATGGGACAGAAGTTGGTTATTACGTCACAGCAGGTTCCCTGAACAGATGATGTCACCTTCAGGATCAGAACTATTTGCTTCTGCTTTGAAATCCTTCAGATTAAGTCTTCTGCGTTTGTTTCAGAGCGACGCAAGGACGCGTGTCTTTTCACGCCTCCTTGCGTGCGTCGACCCATTTTTGTAGACTAGCGTGTAAAGCGACGCAGCCTCCTGCAGCACCAGGCTGTGATTGGTCTCTGACTACGTCCTTTACGGAGTCTCACGTCTCCGTTTTCACAGCACAATACGGCCGTTATTAAAAGGAAGAACGTTTACGAGAGAACGGATCAGATTGAAGAGCTTTTAAATATGTGCGCTTGTACAAGCCGTCATTGGCGGACTATGAGGACGCCGGATGGCCTCTGATTCATGGAGGCAGATCTCCACAAACGAGGGGGACAAAGTCGTGGAGGAAAATACGGGACAAATGTGTCCTTGATGAAAAGCAGCAGTGTGGATGCACGGGGCAATAAAGTCTATGATCAATAAATAAAGCAACCAGCGACTTCCACACACAAAGACGTGACTCTCCAGGTCGTCTTCAACAAAACACGTGACTCCACCTGTTGTTCTGGAGGCGAATCGCTCTGCAACACACGCAGGACTTTACAACCAGGAAGTGAAACCAGTGCGTTGACGTAAAGACGCAGAAACACGCGGCGGCCTTTAGAATGAAATCCTGTAACAAATAAATACAAATGCTACGCTAGCTCACCTGCGTGCCTCCTGCTGCGTTCTGATTGGCTGTTACCTGGTTACCAGGGCATCAGTGAATTAGCATGAGTTGGATATTTTCACCCCCGTAAGTTCGGAGGTGTCTCTGGATACTTTTTAAAAAGGTGTCCCTTGTTTATTATGAACATCGGAGCGCTCAGCGCTAACATATGCTAGGCTAGCTGCACGCTGATTGGCTGCTGGGAAGTCGCAGTTCGGTGACGAGCTGGTGATGTTCATCTTGCAACAGAAGGTGTTCATACTTTATATGCATTGTTAAGAATTTAAATGTGTCGTTTTAAAGTCCCCCAGATAGAGATTAAACGTCCGATTACAACGCGTTGATCGAGTGATCGTGTCCGGGTTTTGTTTTAGTGACTGAGACCAGCGGAGAGATCCGAGCCTAAAAGCACCAGAACAGGGAGGAGAGGAGAGGGAAGGAGCCCCGGCGGGCTGCAGAGCGACCCGGGACACATCCCTCACCGCGCGGACCAGAACCGGGTCAAAGCTCTGCGTCCGGAGAACAGAAGAAACTCGAATAACACCGGGACGGAACCGAGCCGAGATCTATACGAAGGGAGACACGTCCCACCCCTGATGAAGTGGGTCGATTATGTGAATGAAGTCTCTGTTTACTAGACACGGGTCCCCGGGCGAGTGCAGTTAACGTTAGCTGGCACAGCTAGCCGGCTAGCGGCTAACCAAGAAAACGCCCCACAGATACCCGCTCAGACGCAGAGGTGTTACCGACCGTCACACCCCCAGGACCCCGCAGAGAAAATGCACGTGTCCCCCTTTCGTGTTTTATCTGGAAGTCACAAATACCAAGGAACACAATTTGAGATAAAAGACGGGAGACGGGCTAACCGTTAGCTAGCCGCGGTTAGCCTAGCTCAGCCGTTGACTTACACATAGACGATGGACATGAAGTGCATCAGCCACAGCACGAAGAACAGGATGAAGCCGAACACAGCGAGCGCCTGCATGGCGATGTCCAGCACCGCCATGGTGCTCCCGGGATGGGGGGCAAAGGCTCCGGGGAGAAGTGACCGGCAGACCGGCCTCGGGAGTGGGACCAATCTGGGTCCGACTCTCGGTGCAACGAGCTCGGTTAGCTTTATGCTAATGCCCCGGCCTCCAGATGAAAGCAGGCGGGGGCGCGGGCCAGGAGCTCCGGTAACGGGGCGACACGGAGACCCGCCTCGGCCAGGTGCTGCGGGAACCGGGTCACGGAGGCGCAGGCGTCAGCGATTTGACAGTCACCGGACCGACCGACGGTCAGCTGACCACCGGGGGGGGAGGGGGGGTTGTGTGTAGCAACAGCGACTACGTCACTTCCGCTTGTATTCAAAACAAAAGCTTTATTTAAAGGGCTGGTTGCAGCAAACTAGACACAAACAGACGGAGATTATAACTTAAAGAATGTTTAAGAAAAGATTATGATATTGAATTCGGCTACATACACGCAAACGTTTTTGTTCAACTCAAAGACAACAGATTAAAGTTGTCCACATTTATATTATTAAATCAACTACAGGTGAGAATGTTTAGTTTGTAATAATTTCCGCTGCACCTCTTGTTCAGGAATTCAAGTGAATACTGAACGGATGTAAAACGGAGTTACCTGGTAGGCTCCGCCCACACAGGTGAGTCATGGGATGATTACGATCATTTTATCGGATGTTCCGTTGACAATAGTTTTCCACCACAACCGTGACTCGAGTTCAGGTTACCTGTGGACACACCTGTGATCTTTAAATGTAATTACTGACATCTATTTTTTTAATTCTGTTTATTGTATCTTCATAAGAAATACAAACAATACCAGTTAAACCAGCTTGTTGATTCATGTAGTGCACTGACCAGTAAACCTTTATCCTGTGAGAAGAGATGTTACACAATAGTAATAACTACTATCTGGGGGAAGTCCAATGTTTACCTGTAGATATTATCCAGCTAGGTGCAGATTTTAAGTTTTTATTTTTAAATGAAAAGATTTTGTATTTCACTTATCACACTTTTTTTCAGATTTTCTTTTATAATCCATCAATCTTATTTCATCTCCACTTGTGCAATGCATCGTGGGAGAGTTGTGTCAATCGCTTAACTGCTTTTAATAAACTTTATTTATTCCCTTCTTGAGTGATGTAATGGAAAACATGTATGTACTGTTGCTGGGGTGGTGTGTCCATGGGAGTGAATTGAGCTGTCTCACACTGATAAGATGTCCTCAGTCTCGCTGTGGTGTCACAACAAGTTGGTTTACATGTGTTGGATGTAAGCAAGTTTCTGTTGATGCCGTCTGTAACAGAAGAATAGGAACTTCCCTGTTGTGACAAAGAGCGATGTTCTTGGTCTACTGAGCACGTAGCTGCTGGGACCTTTTTTCCCCTGCAAGGAAATGAACCGAGAAAGACATATTTGATTCAGAGCCTTTATTCTAATTGTCTGTGCGAAATCTTCCATCACAGTGACGACAGACATAGAAGTCTCAATCTGCTGCAAAAAACACCAACAACGCTCTTAATCAATAACTTCTGTTCTCCGCCGCTCAGACGTTTTCTCCAGGCGACGCAGCTGGAGGAACTTTTTTTTGAAAGGACCATGGACACTCTGCGTTCTCCTTCCAGCTGGCCTCCTGTGTGTCGTACACTTCCTGTTGATCAAGAAGGTCGCGATCAATAAACACCATTGGGAGTAGGGAGGTGGGGAGCGTTCAGTTAACATCTGGCACCTTCTTCCAGATGGGGAGGTTGGCCTTCAGCTGCTCGATGCAGTGCCAGATCGCCTGCTGGCCGTCATGGCGATGAGGAGACGAGATCGCCATGACAACACTGGCCTCGCCCACCTTCACCCACCTGAGGGACGAAGTTCAGAGGCGACACGATCAATACTTAATAAAAAATATTAAAATGACACTATAAGAGAGTTGTTTATTTACAAATAGCATTAGCAGTTAGCATCGTTGTCTCACCCATGGATGTATTGATCCATTTATTGACAGACGTATCTAGTGATCAACGTATCGTTGGATATATTGATAAACGTATGAGGGAAGAATTAATCAACGTATTGATTTGTTCAAAGAGCAGAAGCCATCTTGGATTCTCACCCCAGCCGGTGGTGGACGCACACGTGAGTCACGGTTGGCCAGCGCGCTCTGATGTCATCACACAGCTTACTGAACTCTGATTGGGCCATGAGTTCGTACGCCTCGTACTCTAGACCAATCACCCTCCTGCCGCCGACCTCGTCCTCGCGGGTCGCACCTACACACACACACACACACACACACACACACACACACACACACACACACACACACACACACACACGTTTTCAAATAACTAGTTTTATTAAATATTTCTGAAACATGTGAAGAATTGAATATATTGTTTGTAATGAATATTTCTGCTGTTAATAATTCCTATTTGAACCTATAAATATTGAAACGGCTCCGCAGGAAGTGCTGCTGACGGCGTCGACCACTTCCTGTACCGACAGCCAATCACGGCTCAGCTTGAAGATGTCCCGCCTCTCCTCCGACTTGCTCATCTGAAACAAAGTTCAAATGATCATTTTTATTGATATCTTTAGAACATATCAAATATTGTTCAAAGAGTTTTTAATCACTTTAATCTCTCATATGTAATCCAGCTAAATTTATAGTTCATGGATATGAAAAACTATATATTATATATAATTTATTTGATCAATCAATAACTTACAGCTTGTGTTTATCCTCCACTGAGCGGCGGCACCACGGCAACCTCGTCCCCGTCTCCAAGGGTTACCACCTGGTCGCCAATGGCAACGTACTGCTGACGCACTGCCAACACCACCTGATCCTGCAGGAGGGACAATCTACACACACACACACACACACACACACACACACACATTATGAAAACACACACACGTACACATTATACACACACACACATTATGAAAACACACACACGTACACATTACACACACACACATTATGAAAACACACACACGTACACATTATACACACACACATTATGAAAACACACACACGTACACATTACACACATACACATTACACACACACACACACACACATTATGAAAACACACACACGTACACATTATGAAAACACACACACGTACACACTACACACACACCTCGGGTGTCGCTGTAGCAACAGCCTCCAGAGGTCCCGGCTGCTGATTGGCGTTGGCACGGCAACGCTCCCCTCCTCCTTCACTCCGGTGAGTTCCACGCTCTTAGCGAAGTACAACACAAACACCTGAAGAAGAACCAAAGATCCTCACGTCAATAGAAGAAGAACATCCCAATTATTAATGTTGTTAATATATGTTAAAATATGTTAATGTTTATTTATTAATCATTATTAATGTCTTATTCTCACTAGACCCTAGACCCTGGACACTAGACCCTGGACCCTGGACACTAGACCCTGGACATTAGACTCTGGACACTAGACACTAGACCCTGGACACTAGACCCTGGACACTAGACCCTGGACACTAGACCCTGGACACTAGACCCTGGACACTAGACACTGGACACTAGACACTGGACACTAGACTCTGGACACTAGACACTAGACACTGGACACTAGACCCTAGACACTAGACCCTGGACACTAGACTCTAGACCCTAGACACTAGACCCTAGACACTAGACCCTAGACACTAGAC